CACCAACGACAACTGATTGATACCAGTTGATGAACTTAGTGGTGGGTCAGCAGCTGTTGTTCTTCGACTTTCAGATAGTTGTCTAACTGCAAGATTACCACCACTGCTGTCTTTCACTACTAGTTCGGGTTTAGCACTATCATCTGATGATAGGTGGGCTACACGCTGATCAATCACACTGACGGTCTCACAAGTATGCACACCTTCTGCAACTGCATCTGCATTCAATTCCACTTCACGTTGCAGTTGTACAGAACCTTTATTCAACTTAGCAGTAGTAGGCATTCCCCCATTTCATCATGATCAACCAAAGACAAATCTGCAATATCATGATCATTATCACAAATATTCAATTTACCATCATCTATCTGGTCCACTTGTGGTGGACCTTTTACTCTGTTAGTTTAGTTACCCAAATTCAAATAGAAAATAAAATGCCAAATCAGTCTGGTTACTGAAAGAATATATTAAAGTTTGGTTACTTGGGTTTACAAAGATCCAAAGTCCACAATAAACGTAATAGACTCCAGGTGCTGCGGGAAGACTGCTCCAGTACTAATTCTCCAATGTTGATGTTGCCGGAGGTCGACCAAAGTACGTAGGAAGAACTACGGTGCTCCTGCAAAAATTTGAGATAGAAAGCAGGTGATTAAAATTGATCGACGGCAGTTGGGATGGTGGAGAAGACGGAGAGTCGAAAGCAGAACTATATATTTATTCAAAACCCGAGGTAAAGTTCAAAGTACAGAGTTTATGGTTAAAACAAAGTAGTGTACAATATGTTCATTTCTTACATAGTAATAAAATTTGGATAAGTTTATTTTTGAGGACTCCACAGACTTCATCATTTTCAAACTCTTTAATAACAGCAGTGGATGATTTGGGTTCTTCCTCACAAATCCCTAAAAATTTTATACCTTCACTCTGACTAGTAATACCTTGTAAACTTGTGGAGTCAGATTTGCCCTCTGAGACTGTAACTCTCTTCTGTGACACCCTATTCAACAATGGCTTACTAGTTGCAACTACAGGCTTCTTCACCGCGCTATTATCGTCACACAATTCGGAGTCAGGCCTGGAGTTTACATTTAGCTTATCACTGAACTTGCTCACTGGTTCACAGTTCACCTTTGTATGCACCTCTTGCAAGCGTGTAAAACATAACCGTGCTTGTCTTGCATCTTGTAACTTATCTGTTGAGGATGTACTACGAAACCTGTTACACTCACTAGGTCTATATGCATTACTAGACATCATGGAGCCTTCTCGATATCCACCCCTCTGAGGCCTATTCGTCATCAATGATTGCATTTTGCTCTCAGACTGCTCTATTCTAGGGGTGGGATTCAATATACTGGCAAACTTGATCATAGATTGATTAACACTATTGTTTACCAGTTTCAGAATATCATCGAACTTTGGATCGATACCCTCATCCTCCATACGGGAGCTTATCTTCACCCACTTCCTTTGCAGTAGAGTAGGTAGGCGTCTTGCTATTACTTCTGGTATAAAACTTCAGTTGAGGTCACTCATGCAATTCATCGAAATCAATGCATTCTTGTAAATCAGCAAATTATCCAAAAACTCAGTGAGTGCCTGGGAGTCATCCTGTAATTGACCACCATTACCCTTAACAGCCTCGAATAATTTCCCTGCAATCGTCGAAGGTCTTCCAAACCTTTGACGTAGTATGCTCATAGCCTCGTAGTAGCCCTCTTTTGGCTTCATAAACTTACAGCACTGTATAGCTCTTTCAGCAATTCCACTGCAAAACCTCATCAAATACATTAACTTCATTTCATCAGTTAATAAAAAACCACTCAGCATGATCTCAAACTCCTTTACAAATTGTAAATAATCAGCCGGGTTTCCATCGAAACACCGTGGTTCAAATTTAGGGAGTTTGATGTTCCTATTATCCCTGGGCGGCGAAACAGTAACATCAACCATGTCATGTTTAACATCAGACACATCGTTACAAGTAACAGACAAGTCACCATGACTTACTTTCCTGTTTGCATCCAAGACGCTCTGTCCCTTCTTTGACCCAGGCATTGTTGAACTTGACCCAGTTCCAAAACCGTTCCAGATATTGCTTGTTCAAAGAGGACTTGACCGGCACCAGGAAAGATGAACGGTGACTATCCAAAGTCGTGCTGTCAGAAACTGACTTCACTGTCAGGAACTGTCAGCCACGTCTCGTAAACCGTCAATGCCCAGCTCTTGCTACTCTGGGACTCACGCTGTTCCTTGAAGTTTCTCAGAAACGCTTAGCAACAACGGACGCAGAACCAAAACACCGGTTGGCTACTCGAGAATTCTTTATTGTAACACCAACATATAGACAACTTTAAAATTAAGTTTTAACTAAGGTTTCCGACAGTTTTGGCCTGACTTCTTTCTGAACGGCGACCGATGAGACGATGACTGGCGTATCGATGCCTCCGCGAAAGTATAGGGAAGTTGGGTTTGAGCAAACAACCATGAATTGATCGTTCA